TCCCCTATTTTCGGAAACCCTCAAGTAGTGTGCAACGACGATTCTCGAAGTCGTTTCAGAGTAGTAGTAGCAGTGGTAGTAGAAATAGCAGCAGAAATAATAGCAGCAGTAGTAGTATTGGCAGCAGGAGGAGGAGGAGAAGGAGGAGTAGCAGCAGTAGTAGTAGTAATAGTAGTAGAAGCAATAGTAAGAAGAAGAGTACTAAAACATATTTATTTAAACATAAACAATAACAATAATTGCAATAATTTATATAGATAGATAGAGATAGATAGATAGATAGATATATATATATATATATATATATGTATTCTTACAGAAGTTCCGGTGCGGCGGCGACAAAATCTGGCAAGATAGGGCTCCACAAACCAGGCACTTTGTGGAAGAACAGGCTGGATTCCAAAGTCTTGCTCGCTCGACGGCCCAACTCCTTGATACCCCTGTAGCCCTGAACCCTTGGGCGTGAAACGGCGCGTGTAAACAAGACCTGCAAGCCTTGTTTGCCCTCCTCAACCAAGCCCCAAACTCGCACACCCTAAATCCCACACCCAAACCCACAAAGAAGTTTCGGGCGCAGGCTTCCTTAAAACCCTTAAAACCCTCAAAAAACCCTGAACCCTTACAGTAGCCCCCCAAAAAAAACCCACCCTGCACGCCTACGCCTGGAGGGCCTTGGACCCCACTCCGAAGCCTCCGCCATCCTCCGGGCCGCCTCCGCGCCTTGGCTTCCGGGGGGGGAGGGGGTCCCGGCTTTGGGGAAGTCCGGGGGAAAGACGCGACTTCTCGATATTATGAACTTGAATGCACATGTAGACAAACTGTAGATAAGAAGTATGAAGATGAAGATGAGTGTGTGAACAGGGATATGAATAAGATGGGTATGAATATGGTTTCGGGTATGAATGAGACTTAAAGACGAAGGAACTGAATACAAATGTGAGTCTCCGTCTCTCTCTTCTCTCTCTCTCTCTTCTCTCTCTCTCTCTTCTCTCTCTCTCTCTCTCTCTCTCTCTCTAGACAGGAGATATGTACCCTAAGTGTGTTATGTAGTCGTCAACATCAATTCTGACAGTCCTGTTGTTGCTGTGGAGCATTTTGCAATGGGCATCATAGGCCGATGCTATTGGTTTTTGTATTGACTGGTGACTTGTTGTTACTCTTTCTTACTTCTGATCTCTGAAATCCCTGCCTTATCTCTGATCCTCTTGACAGCAACACCAGTCCTTGAAGATAGGCCTTTAAAGGTGCACAAGCTGTCCATGAAGCCCCAATCCTAAGTGGGCCCGAAAAGCCTGACTATGCCCAAGATGGCTGTATGCCCTTGAAACATCCCAAGAGGCTCAAAGGCTCATGGCAGAGATTTGGGTTTCATGAAACCCTGATTGGGCGCGAAACCTGTCCCGTCCTAGAGGGTCATACTCTCCCCTTCCTCTGCGTTTACCCCTGCACATAAGCCTGGCACTCTCGAAGTTATCTGATAATGATGGCACCGATAGCAATGAGGAGGTTGGTGATGGCGCTGGTCCCTAAACACTACGTAAGAGGCAATCTGAACTCCAAACCTCAACCCCGGATCTAAGAACCAAGCTGGAAGCCCGCAAATCCAGCTCCTAAACTCCACACTCTGAACTCTGAACCTTCAACCTTATAAATCGATAGACCCCAAGCCCTAAACGGAGGATTCTCTGAATGCCCTGCGTCTGAGGTTATGGCTTCCGACCACCCTCAAGGGCCAGGCAGCGTCGTCGGAAAGTGGCCGGAACATACAGGGGAATGTCAGAAAGTGAGGCACCCTGATATAGATGTTAGCCAGCATTCTAAAGCTGCGCATGCCGGTAGTCAAGGAGCCTATGTAGATGTGCGCATACTTATACAATAGTGTACACACAGTACAGTACGTGTATGCGTACACGTATACATATGCAAGTACAGCGGCATACGTACATACCTACGTGCATACGTTACATACCTACATCCATCCATCCATCCATCCATCCATCCATCCATCCATCCATCCATCCATCAGTCCATGCATGCATATATGCATAGATACATATATGTATGATGCTTGCATGCATACATACGTTTCTGCGCCTTGCCTGCTTCAGCCCCGGCCATCTCCGGTGGGCTGAAGTCTAGACTCCCTTGCGTCTCTTGGTGGTGCGTCTTGAGTCTTGGAAAGTACTTTCGATCAGGATTCAGCTTAGCCCCTTGTTGTTGCCTCTTTTCCGGATAATCTCAATCGGTACTGACTATGCGAGTATTTTTGAATATGCTTGGCATCACACCTGTGTTTTTCCCTTCAGATCCGAAGCCAGACTCAGACTGAGAAGCCGGCCTTTGCCAGGCCAAGAAGAAGGCAGCGGGCTAAGCGTTCCCCTCCTACTCAATACGCACGCCCCCCCCCCCCCCCCCC